ATGTCTATGCTCTCCATCAGTGTCATGATGCCTTGCACCAGGCAGGTCACGTCCTGCCAAATGCCATGCACAAACCCTGCACTGCCAGCCCATCTGCCTGTGCCTGTGTTCATGCTCAGCCCTACTCTTCCAGGAGGCCCCAAAGCTCCAGGTTGATGACAGTTTAACAGCACTGGTGTCTGCAGCCGATGGGAGATGCCTGCCTTATGTTGCCCTGGAAGGTAAGGTGTCCCCGTGGCCACATGCTGAGGACGGGGAGCAAGCTCTTCTCCTTTGGCTGTGATACATCCATTTGTCCTCAGGCATTGTGCTGCCAGCCAAGGCTGCGCTGTCCAGCCATTACCACGGGGGGATGCAGGGTGTGATCCAGAAGCTGCTTCTGAAAGAGCATCGGCTGATCTGGAACAGCTTGGCACGGAGCTGGTGAGCAACAGAAGGGACATCGGGGCCAGGCTTGCACCGGCGGTCCAGACCCCAGCCTCTGGGGACACATGAGAGGCAGAAAGGCAGAGACTCCAGTCCTTACCCCCAGTTCAGCCCTAGCAGCTCAGGTTTCTTTCACGTTCTCCACATCTCAGTGCTGTGCTCTCCACTTGCAGGACTGAGAGCGAGCGGGTGCTCTCAGAGCAGGTCTACACTGTCCCCTTCTTGCTGGCCTCCCCGGATGCCGAGGCAGTGACGCAGGTGAGCGTGGAGAGCCCGCTGCGAGCCGTCTGCCTGCCTCTGGAGATGGTGTACGAGCGCTTCCAGCAGCCAGCCCACGGCTTCCGCGACCTGCTGGGCCACTACCTGAGTGGGGAGAAACCCAAAGGCATTCTCGAGACAGAGGAGATGCTGCGGGTGGGGGCTGGGCTGACAGGCATCGGGGAGCTGGCCCTGCACCCTGACGGCTCCCTGCACCTCCAGCCACCGGCACGGGAGGGCGAGTATTTCTTGTGCCTGGGGGACTGGCAGACGGTGCTGGCCGAGTTGGAGTCAGCCAGAGGGTTTTGGAAGGGGGCAGCTATGTTGTGTGCCATGGTGGGGCTGGCTGTCCTCCTGCACACCCTGTGCCGTGCCATCCGCCACAAGCACCAGGACAAGGAGCCAGAGGTGGAGGAGGACAGCGACGAGGGGCTGGAGGACTCCTGTGTGGTTTGCCTTTCCCGGCCCCGTGAGTGCGTCCTCCTGGGCTGTGGCCACATCTGCTGCTGCTTCCGCTGCTTCCAGGCCTTGCCCACTCGTCTCTGCCCCATCTGCCGGGGGCCCATTGACCGCGTTGTGCCCCTGTACCAGGCCTGAGAGCATTGGGGGGGGAGGACAGCAGAGCTGTGCCAACCAAGCCTGGTGTGAAGCTTGTAGAAATCTCAGCTGTCCCCTGGCGTGCAGCTGGGTGGTTCCTGCTGTGGAGGGAGGGGTCCTGGCTTACCCCTGTCTATTCCAGGGTAGGGCTGAGGGGATATACAGCCCAGTCATCTTATTTGCCCCTTTGTCTGCCCAAGTCACACCTCCACCCCTAATATGAGAGCATAGGGTCAGTGTACTCCTGGTGCCTGACACGAGGAGAGGAGGCCCTGTGCCATTCTGGGTCTATTGTCTGAGTCCTGAACACTCCCCCCCTTCCCTCTGCTGCCTGCAGCGTGGCTTTTTTTCCCTTATTTTGCTTTTCTGATGTGTGGTTTTGCCTGTGGGTAAATCATAGGACTGGAGGGAGATCCCAGGGCTAGTGAGACACAGCTGGGGAAGGTGGGGTACAGAAACCACCCAGAGCCACCACTGTGTCACACCCTGGCACCAGCATTCCCCTACCGTGTGCCTACACCCACTAAGCGGACCCCGTGAGGGCTGAAAAATTCCCTTGCTTCTCTGGCACCTGGGCAGGGAAATGGGGACAGTGTGTGCTGCGGCATCCTGCCGTCCCACACCACAGCCTTCCCAGAGCTGAAGGACAGCCCTGAGGCAGCCTCCAGCACCCGCTGAGCCCCATGCACCCGCCCTGGAGCCAGCGCAGGAGTGACGCGCGGTTGTTTGTCATTGATAAAGCTGAGGAGCCAAGCACAGGCTCGCGTTTTCTTTTGCGTCGTTACAGTAGGGCTGGGAAATGCCACCATCCCTACCCAGCTGGGCAGGGGACCCCTGACTGTGGGTACATCCTTTGGGACAGCCCCAAAAAGTGCAAGGATGGGGATGAAAAAGGGGGGGGTTGCTGTTACCAAGGCAACTGTGCTCTTCCGGTCTCCATAGCAACTGCTCCCCTGGACTGCTCCCCATCACTGCCTGCTGTTGCCAGGCAACCCATGGGCTCTCCCAGCTCCTGCAGCTTTGGGGCACCCGGGATTTGGGGTGGGAGTGATGCTGGCAACCTGACAGCAGTGTATGGGTATGGGGTTCTGTGCCCCCTTCCCCGGTGCAGCTATCCCATCACTCCTGATTTGGGGTCAGGCACTCACTTGGGGCAGAGGCGTTGTCCCCAGGGCCCACTGCCAGCTGTGATGCCCCCAAAACACCCAGCTGAACCACCAGGGACCCGCACGCGTCATTGAAGTGAGGGAGTTTCCCCACCTTTCCCCACATTCTCTCACCCCAGTCTCTCCCCCTCACCAGTATGGCCGCGCTGCAGAGTGAGCAGTGGGGACCGAGTCCCCTGCACCAGCCGGTCGTTTCCCCCGCAGCAGGAGGGATTTCGGGAAGGAGATAAATACCAGATGGGAGAGGGCTGGGCTGCCAGGAACGCGTTCCCCGCGTGCCAAGAGCTGCTGGCGCGAGTGGGTGCGTGGGCTGGGAGGTGTCTGCGCACCCGGAGACTGCTCTCCTCGCTCCTGGGGCTGAGTCAGGGACGGGCAGAGGGGTCCACGGCCACCCCTGGCTGAAGCCCCATAGCACTGAGGGTACAGAAGGAAGGGGATCTGTCCCACTGCACCCTGTCCCTGCAGGCACACAGAGAGGTGCAGGCACCCCTCCTGCCACCTTGTGCCCCCAGAAAAGCAACCAGCCACATGGTAACCCAGCCACACAAACCCTGCAGTGCAGCCCGGAGCGGTGCCGGGCAGCACCATGATTCAACCTCTCAGCACCAGCCAGAGCCCAGCAATGCCAACTGCCCTGCGTGGAGCTGCCGTGCCCGTGCCCCTGGGTGAACCCACTGCACATCCCCACCATCACCCTGGGGACATTTATTTTGGGGACACATTCAGAGAACACGGTGCTGAGCTACATTCCCCTCCCACAGCACTCGAGAGGACCAGGGTGTCCCCACTGCTGCCAGCCCCACCCAGTGCCCTGTGGGTGCCTGCTGCCCCCACCTTGCCCCCCAGGGCTGCCAGCTCGCTGCCACCTGCCTCCTTGTCTGTTGTCATGGTGACAGAGATATGGTGACAGATGAGGGATGGAGCTCGTCACCCCTGCGGGAATGCTGTCTGCATAACGGGGTTGATCTCCCCTGTCCTGGGACCCCATGGGACAAAAGGCTTTTCCCACAAAGCACCTGGCACAGCTCAGAACTCTACCTTACTGCCCCATATGAGGACGCAGGTAGCACTTGCAGGTGACCCTCACTGACCCCACACAGCACGCTGGGGACAGGTGCTCAGGGTGGTGGCAGCAGGGAGATGGCACCCGGCGAGCAGAAGTGCCATTTCACGTTTCTTGGCAGGGCTGGCAGCAAGCAGATGGAGGCACCAGGAGCAGGCTGCAGGCACAGCTCTGCACCGCCAGCACCCGACCTGCTGCCTGGGGGGAGAGCCAGCCCCCGCTGTGACACCCACCCACATAGGCCACTTGCCCACCTACATCCCAAACACCAAGAGCCCAGCTATAAGGGCAAACCAAAGCCCTATCCCTGCTCACCCATCACCAGCATGGTGCCCCCACCCTGACCCAGCCCCCGTGCACAACACCTCGCTGCCATCCCCCCTGCAGCCCATCTGCTCCCCAGCCCTGTGGCTCACCGCTCCCTGCCCATGGGCAGAGGCACGTGGGCCTGGCGATGGGGAAAGCAGGGCACATCTCAGCGTGGGCCTCTCGCCTATTTTCCCAGGCGCTTCTTTTTGTGGGAGCAGAAGCTGCCAGATGAAGGGGCTGGAGCCGGTTCCCCAGCAAAGGCAGTGATAAAGGATTGCCTCTCTGGTGGGGAGGAAGCACTGCTGCCCCAGCGCTGCTCTCAGAGGGGAGCAGGCTCTGCAGAGCCCAGCACAAAGAGAACAGCACAGCCAAGCCTTCCCGAAATAGCAGCACCTGCCCTCTCGCGTGGACCGGCCCCACTGATGCTTTTCTACAGCAGCTTTCATGTGTGATCTCAAAGCACAGGAGGATGGTGGCATTGAGAAATGGAGCCCATCCCTCCTTCCCACAAACCTGAGCCTAAATAACACCCTGGTGATGGGGAGGGGTCCCAGGTGGGGCTTTCTCAGGGCCACTGATGCCAACATGGTGCAGCTGTGCTCTTTGGGGGAGGCATGATGGTCTTTGGGGGCTAACAGCAACCGACCTATGTCACATCCCTGTGGGGATGGCTTTGTCCCTTCTTGTCCTTCCTGCCCCATGGCTCTGTCCTGAGGCAACGGCTGAGCCGGGGGGCAGCAGTATCCTCATGGGTACCCACGGGTCTGTGCCCAAACCACAGCCCCACAGATACACCCAGCGCGCAACCATTTGGATGCACGCGTGTGCGGTGACCCACACGGACCCACAGAAAGGGAAGCCCTGCATGGGGGCTACAGGAGAGGCTGTCAGCGATGGGGATGCAGCGCCGTGCTGGGAACTGACACGGGGATCTCTGCCTGGGCCACGGGCTCAGTGGGGAGGGGGGGACCCACGCATGCGGTGCTGCGCTGGGGATGGGCGCACCGAGACCGGACGGACCCCGGGACACGGGGACGGGCAGCCACCCCCGGTCCCCCCACGCGTCCCGTCCCGTCCGCGGAGCTCGGAGCCGCCCCCTCCCGCCCCGCCGGGGTGGGGGGGTCCCCGCTCCCCCCGGATGCATGACTTCATCCTTCCGCCCGGCTTTCCTCCCCGCCGCCGCCGCCGCCGCCGCAGACTGGCTCCCGGCTCGGCGCGGCGCGGCTCGGCCCGCTCGGCCCCGCCATGTCGCAGGTGCTGCCCTACGGCGAGGACAAGGTGGGTCGCTACGGCGCCGAGCCCGAGGCGGGGGAGCTGCCCTTCAGCTGCCGCCTGCAGGACACCAACGCCTTCTTCGGGGGCAACCAGGGCAAGCGGCCCCCCAAGTTGGGACAGATCGGCCGCGCCAAGAGAGGTACGGACCCCCCGACCCGGCACCGCGACCCCTCGCTTCCCCCCCGACCCCCGGTTGCGCCCCGCAGCATCCCCGATACCCCCGGTGCTGCCCCCGGCATCGCTCTGCCGCTGCACCTGCGGCTGTGCTCTATAGCAGAGCCGGGAACCCCGGCTGTGCCCTATAGCATCCTTAGCGCTGCCCTATAGCATCGTCGGCTGTGACCCCCTTCTCCCCCCCCCCCGGCGTCCCCGGGCTGCAGCTGTGCCCCATAGCATCCCCAGCGCCGCATCCCCGCCTCTGCCCCGCACCATCCCCGGCTCTGTTCCCTGGCAATGGGCAGCTCCAGGAATCCCACTCTGCGGCGCAGCCCCAAAGCCGCAGGATGGACCCCACCGCTGGCCCCGGAGTACGCCGGGCATCCCTGGGGCTGCCCCCCCCCCCGCTTTCCCCGGAGCTGCTCTTAGCGGTTGCCGCACCCCCCCCGGGATGCCCCCCCCGGCTCCATAGGCAGCCCCCCGGCCCCATAGCACCGTCCCTGCCACATCCCCGCCTGCTGCAGAGAGCCCACAGCAGCGATGCTTAGCAGCATCACCCCCGCTTTGTGCCCCCCCGGGGCTCCGTAAGGCTGTGTGTATGTTCCTTCCCCCCTCCCTCCCCCCCCTGCTTCCCTTCATGCCGCAGAGACCCTATAGCAGCTCAATCCGAACCCAAATAAATACTCCCCCCACCCCCGGCTAAATCCCCATCCATCCATCCTCGGGGAACCCTGATAACAGCTCTCTCCCCACCTGCTCGGAGGGGGCACAGCCAACCCTCCTCTTGAGCAAAAAGGGGGCACACAGCCCCCCCCCCCCCCCCCCCCCCCCCCCCCAGCACCCACACTCACACCCCTGAGAGATGATGCACCGCTGCCCGTGCCCCCCCAACTCATTTTGCAGTGCTGATGGATGGGGAGAAGTGGACCCTCTCAGTGGGGCTGGGGGAGGCCCAGTGGGGGATGCTGGGGGTCCTGCACAGTGATGATGCTGATGGAGGGCTCGGTCCGGTGGTGCTCTGCTGACGCCTATTGCTGTTTGTGGGGGGTCTGTCCGAAGAGAGATGATTGGGT